AGCAGGAGCGACAGTGGTCCTCAGCTGTGCGAATGGAAAAGTTTACAACTCCCCCGATGCGCTTCCTCCATCGTTCCCGTGATTATATGCATTAATTAGAGCATTCCTAATGCTAATAAGCAACGGTGGATAAATGCCTCCTTGGTACCTGATTGCAGCGCTCGTTCTGTTCGTGGAGGGAGGGACATCACTCAAGTGTTGCCATATGCTTTTATTTCCTCTTTCTCTGGGCAGGAAAGAGAATTATAGAAAGTTAGTGTGGGAAGGGACCTCAGGAGGTCACATCTAGTCCAAACCCCTGCTCAGAGCAGGACCAGCCCCAACTACATCATCCCAGCCAAGGCTTTGTTGAGCTGTGTCTTAAAAAACCTCCGCGGCTGGAGCGTCCACCATCGACGTGAGGGGGCTTGTGGTATCCTGGGGCAAACACTTGAGTGTTGCGTTCAGGCAGTGCTAGGCTTTTCTTGGCACATCTCGAAGCACTGAAAGGAGGGGCTCCCTCTGTACCCTCACTTTACAGCTGGGGAGATGGGCATAGAGAAGAGAAGCAGCTTGATGGTCCCAGGACAGAAAGGACTGAGCAGGGTGGCAGCACCCACGGGCCCCAGTCTGTGTCTGCAGTCATGTGCATGGTGGACACAGTCCCTTCTCTGTATAGGATGAAAAGCACTGTGGTTTCCCTGGCAGAGAAAGGCATTGAAGGTGAGGACTGGGGTAAGCATATAGAAGCAGGGTTAGGAATATACCCTAGAGCTCCTGAATCCCAGGCCTCTTCCTTAATAAGCAAACCTTGTCCACCTGGTTTCTTCCCCTAACTTGCACTCGGGAGGCCAAAAGGCTGAACCTTCTGCTGGCGCCAGCGGTGTTCAGTGGCGCTGCAAAGCCTGCATTGCCTTGCTGCCGGCGGATGACGCGGGCCGAAGAATTCCCCTGCTCGGAGCCTGTTTGCTTTGATAATTAGGCAAGGCGGCGAGGGACGTTATGGAAAACACGTGGAAGGTAAATAACTTCCCTGCAGTGGCCACCTGGGCCATCCGGTTGTGCTGCAGACAACCCAGCGCTGTGGGGCCAGGGCGAGATTCCCCAGCCCTTTCTCTGTCTAGCACGGGGAAGCTGGGGCTGGCCACCTTCTGCTCCTGGCACGGCTGCAGGATGGTGCAGGTCAGACTGGTTCATTTCTAGGGACCCACTGCTCCCTCCGGCGTGGACACGATCCCCACACCCAGCATAGAAGAGCTCTAGCTTGTCTAGCCCCTGCCCCCTGTGCGCAAGCGGGGCCAGGCTGCTGCTTTCCCTGTTGATCCAACCAAGCCCCATTGAGCTGCAATGGGGTAGCAAACCCCTGCCGCTAATAATCCTCAAGCATGGGGCACATCACCCTGTGTCTGCAGGGCTCGGTTTCCCCAGGACAGAACAAACTGACCCCCTTTCATTTCTCCTGCTTGGGCTCTCAGGGATGTCAGCTCCTCCGGTGTCTCTGCCGTACCCAGCATAGCAGGGCTTAATGCACCTTATTCTGAGATCTAAGATCTGGCCTAGCTGGCAGGGGTTGGATAGGAGCTGTGGTGTTGAGCAGTGCATGGGGCTGAGATGGGGGAGTTGTGGCACGTGTGCCCCCATGGGATGGGGGCAGCTCCACTGACGTCCTAGAAATCAAATGGGTCTGGGCAGTGCGGGATGGAAACCATGAGAGGGAGAAAGCAGCGGAGGAGAAATTCACCCCCTTGGCAGGCAGCGAGGAAGCAGGGAGAAGCTGGTTTTGCAGCTCCAGGCCCCGGGAGAAAGGAATGATGCAACTTCCAGCAAGCATTACCGTGCGGTTGGTTAAAATAAACAGGGCGCTGACGCCGGCGGCGCTGGACGCGCCCCCACGGGAGGCTGCCAGGAGGTGTTCAGGGTGCGGCTGTCTCGGCCCCCGTCTCAGGGGTAAGGAGCAGGCTGCAGGTCTGAGCTGTCCCCGGGGCAGCCTGGGGCTGTTGGGGCTTGTCTATGGAGGCTGTTTCAGCCTCTCCTGCACCTTGTCCTGACCCTGGCGCAACCGGTTGCCTCCCCTAAGCAGGGGCGATGCTTTCCCGGCCGCTACTATCCACAAGGACTTCATGTTGGGCTTCTTAGTGCCAGGACCCGGGGGCAGCCGGGCAGCTGGCACGTGCAGCTTCCCACATCCCAGCTCCCCCAGTAAGGACCCCATGGCCCTGCCTGCCCTGTCCAGGCCCTGCCAGCATTGCCTTCCTGCTCCTTTCTCCCACACCCACAGCCTCTGCCAGGCAGCTCGGCACAAAGCCGTGCCACCGCCTGGCTCCTGGCTCGACCTCTGCACTCAGCTGCATCCCTGGAGGCGAAGAGGTGGGGCTGAGGCTGGGAGGAGGGTTTGTTTGCAGCTGCCCCAGGCCCTGAGGGGGGGACCATATGCAGAGGACAAGGAGAGAATGGAGGGGATGTGCTTCTTCCCCGCACCAGGAGCTCGATCGCTCTGGAATATTAAGAGGCAGGGGAGTTAATTAATACCCAGAACAAAGCCCCACGGCCTGGCCTCTGCAT